ACCTCAAGTACCGATATTTATCCAATAATTTTTTTTGTATATTTATTTTGGAAGAGTTTTGCCAAATGTCAAGCTCAGCCTTAAACCTCAATAAAGGTTTTTATTCTCCGGATCTTATTATTTTAATTTTGTTCCGGTATTACCTCCAGTACCTTTTTTTCGTATTTGCTAGATGTGCATCGGTATTTATAAATTTGAATATATTTATATATATTTAAATATATTTGAGTACATGGAAAAATATCAAAAAATATCAAAAGATATGGTCAGAATATATGGATTCCTATATTGTTATATATGATTTCTGTAGGCATGATATTCAAGGTTGATAATCCGCGGTAAAATTTGGAGAATTATTCGGGCAGAATTCTAAATAGGGATATATGAGATGAAATTTTGGGCTCTGAGGTTTTGTATTTTTTTTCTTGGGACATTTGTCCAGGGCAGGTTTGCGGAAATGTACGCTGTAATTTGGAAAGTTGTTCCGGAAGAGTTCAAAACAGGGATGTATGAGATGAAATCTTGGGGTCTAAGATTTTGTGATTTTTTCTTTGGACATTGGTTTAAGACAGATTTGCGGCAATGTGTGCTGTAACTTGGAGAGCTGTTCCGGCAGAGTTCAAAACAGGGATGTGCGAGATGAAATTGAAGAGTCTGGGGTTTTGTGATGTTTTTTTTCGGACATTGGTTTAGGACAGATTTTGGGAAATGTGTGCAATTCAAAATAGGGATATGTGAGATGAAATCTGGCGGTCTCAGGTCTTGTGGGGTCTTTGGGAATGGGTTCAGAATAGATTTGTGGAAATGCCCAGTGTAACTTGGAGAGCTGTTTTAGTAAATGAAGTCCTAGGTATTAAGAAATAGGAGAAAATGAAGGTAGAAATTATTCACAGTGGCTAAAAAGCGGGACCTGAAATTCATAAAAATTAAATAATAAGGTACATTCACAGGCTGAAAATATAAAATTAAAATTTATGAAAATTAAATAATGATATTCTTGTATAGGCTGAAAATCTGGGGCCTGAAATTTATGAATGTTAAATGGTGGCATTCTTGTACAGGATGAAAATCGGGGCCTGAGATTTATAAAAAGAAGTAAGGTATATGCACAGATTGAAAATATGAAATTGAAATTCATGAAAATTAAATGATGTTATTTTTGTATAGGTTGAAAACCTGGGATCTGAGAGTT